GAAATACTAAGTATCAACACTTACAAGTAAATTAGCTTTTAACCTTTCATTTTATTCAATCTGAATTTGCATCTATCACATCTTTTACTAAAACAAGAAACCGTAGTAGAAAACTTAAATTTCTTCTAGAATAGCTTTTAATAGTTCAATTTATGAAAGCCACTCAACCTCAGTTATATTTATTTCTTTGGAAATACTGTTGATTTAATAGCTATAACAAAGATTTCAATCATATCTGGCTTTATCTTATTATCAGACAAAATATGCAATTCCTGATCTCTGAATCCATTATTCATTTAAAATTACAATTATTCATTTATACTTCCAAACCTATGTTTGCAGACAATATTAATAATCTTTTAAACCCCTCACATACAATATGGTCAGTATAAGCAAATCTACATGATTTCTCCTTTATTGATCTTATAAAAGGTATTGTCCCTAATATTTTGTCATCAACCTTAACAATATTTACCAAATCTTCCTCTACTACTTTATTCATCCTCTCCTCTTTTTTCAATTTTATTTTTACTCAAGCCTATAATAATATATGAAAAACTAGATGTGCTTTAACTTTAGATAAAGAAAGATCCTTACACATAACGAAGAGACAGAAGAAAAGCAATTTTGCTATGTCTAACGTTACTTTTTTAATTAATAGTTTCTCTAACACTTTATTTGCTAATAATACGGATACTCTTGATCATATTACTCTAATTAATAACTCTTATAAACATGGTCGACGTTAGTCCTTCTTCTTAGATAGGTGATAACTAGTTGTTCTAATAATCCTTTTTTTTTAGTTTGGTATTGATGATTATTCAGTAAATTTTTATAATTGAAATCAGACAGGACAATTGGTTGGTCTAGTAGGAGCTAGTTATCTAGTAATAAATATTAGGCAGCAATTTTTATTTTTCTACTTTTGTATCTGTCTTGAGATTTTTATGTATTTTATACTGAAATTGTTTTTCATATATAATAAAATTTTGCATTATCACGTCTTTAAAAAAAAATAATTACAAAAATATATCAAACATTTTTCTAATTATTATCACCTCAAACGAAACACTAAGTATCAACACTTACAAGTAAATTGGCTTTTAACCTTTCACTTCATACAATCTGAATTAGCATCTATTACATCTTTTACTGAAACAAGAAGTCGTAGTAGAAAACTTAAAATTCTTCTTGAACAGCTACTGATAGTTTAATTTATGAAAGCCACTCAACCTCAGTTATATTTACCTTTTTGAAAATGCTATCATTGTAATAACCATAATGATTATATCTGACTTTATTCTATTATTAGACAATGTATGTGATCTCTAATCTCTGAATTCATAGCTCATTTAAAGCTACAATTATTCATTTATACCTTTAAATCTGTGTTTGCAAATAATATTAATAATTTTTTAAATTCCTTATATCCAATATGATTATTACGAGCAAATTCACATAATTTCTCTTTTATTGGCCTTATAAAAAGTATTGTCCTTACTATTTTATCATCAATTTTAACAATATTTATCAAATCTTTCTCTACTACTTTATCCATCTTTTCTCTTTTTTCAATTTTATTTTTACTTATGCCTATAAAAATATATAGAAAACTAGATGTGCTTTAACTTTAAACAAAAAAAGATCCTTACATATAACAAAAAGACAGAAGAAAAGCAATTTTACTATATCTAACGTTACTTTTTTCATTAATAGTTTCTTTAATACTTTATTTGCTAACAATATAGATATCCTAGATCATATTACTTTAATTAATAATTCTTATAAACATAGTTGACATTGGTCCCTCTTCTTGAACAAGTGATAACCAGTTATTCTAACGATCCTTTTATTTAGTTTGGTATTAATGATTGCTAAGTAAATCTTTATAATTAGAATCAGACAGGACAACCGATTGGTCTAGTAGATTAGTTTTTAGTAATGAATATTAGGCAGCAATTTTTATTTTTTTATTTTGTATCTATCCTAAGATTTTCATGTATTTTATACTGAATTTGTCTCTTTTATATAATAAAATTTTGCATTATCGCGTCTTAAAAAAAAAAAATAATAATTAAAAAAATATAAAAAAATATAACTCTTTTTAGTGATCACTTATCTAAGAATTTTTACGTAAAATATGTATATATTTAAGGGTGATTATAGCTTAGCTTGTAAACAAAACACAACTTCCTTTACAAAATGCTTTCTCTCTTTATTTTTTCCAAACTCTTTTATTCTAAAAAACAGTTTTTATTAGTCTAAACAGTAGTATTTTTTATTAAAATATTTTTTTCGTCATTTCTCTTAGCTGTTTTTTCTGTATTTTTCTTTTTTCTTTTTATCTACAAAAGTGAGTATTAGGAGGTATCCCAAATGATGATCAGGATCAATAACAACTTTAGATCAACTAATCACATGTGATGACTTTTTTAATTACTTTTCTAAACAATTACAATCTTTTTAAGTTTCTAACATCAAAAGCCTACTGATCTTAGCAGAATTTTTTAATTTCTCATAATTGTATGATTTAGATTCTATGCAATGCCTGCTAGCAACTGTAATCTGAATTGACAGACATCTTAAAATAGAAGTTTGAAAGTACTGAAGAACCTCTAACTGAACTTAGTGATATAAGCGTTTTTGTACTAGAAGGTCACTATAACTAGAAATTAACTAGATAACTTAGCTAAGAACTTGTTAAAGTCAGATTTTTTATTAATCTCTTTTTTGGTTTAACAATAATTTAAATTACTTATTTTTATATTGAATTTAAATTTAAAATAGGAATTATTATTAGAAAAAAGAAAGAGGTGTAGTAATAATCTAGTTTTTATGCATTAAGGTAGACTCTATTAATAATTATTTCTTAAGTATAGCAGAATGATCAGTTAGTTCAAGGTTAATAAGATTTTTAACTTGCAAGAACATTTTAAGCAATTCAGTTTATTTTTTTCTACTTTGTATTTGGCTTCAGGATTTTCATATATTAATTTATTGGATTTGAATTTTTCATAATAAATGTGAACATTATTATGTCTTTAAAAAAAAATTAATTACAAAAATATAAAATTTAATTTGTTAGATTCATCTTATTAAGATTTATTAAATAGTTATATTTTTATATTTTTAAGATCAATAAAAAATAAGATATATAAGTTTAAAATTTAACTTTTTTTTATAATAATTTATCATATATTTATCTTTAAAATATCATTAATTAATTACATTTTTTTTTTGAATTTTTACTTAGAAAATATCATAAAATTTATTATAAAAATATTAATTTTTAAATAAGTTATTTTAAAATATTTAAAATTATTATAAATAATTTTAATTATTAAATAAAACTATAAATAAATTTGTCAGTAATATGCTTAAAGGAATAATATAATAAAGTTTAATTATAATAAATTAATTTTGTATAAGTAAAATAGCTTTTTATAAATTAATTCTTTTGTAAATTTCAAAAAATTAATAAAAGAATCTATACAAATATCTTTCTTTTTATATTATTTTTCATCTAAAAATTGATTATGATATATTATTTCTTAACTATTGAGTAGGCAAATTTATTTGAGAATATAAAAAAAAAGTATTAATTTTAATAATATAATTATTATATAAAAAATATAGTTTAATATATAATATATTAATTTTCTTAGAAAAGATTTTTTAAATAATTCAATTTAAAGTTAAGTTTTAAATTAAAGTCTTAAATTTATAAAAATTGTAATAATTAAAGTTATTCTTATAATAAATTTTATAATATTCTAATATAATTAATATTGTTAAAAATAAATATTCAAAAGTCAATAATAAAATTTTTTTTTAAAAAAAAAATTTAAAAAAATTTTATTTTTTTATAGAAATATAGTAAATAAGTAGGTAAATTTGCTTGCAAAATCCTAAAATTTAAGAAATACTAACTTGCTTTTGAATTTATCATTAAATTCAACTTAATAATCTTAAATTTTAAAATATATAAATTGCAAAATTGATTCAAAAATTTTATATACCTAAAAGATTGAGAGAATTTCCTATAAATCCAATATACTGTATAATGATTATAAATTTTTTTTTATTATAAACAATGATAAAAATTTTTTACATGTTTACAAATTTTTTACTAATATATATGTTTTTTTCTTTATGCTTTTAAATAAATAAATGCTAAGAAATTTTTCTGCTTAAAAATTCCCATTCGCTAATTGTTTTAAAAAAAAACTATAATAAACCTATAATTAAAGAATCAAAAAATTTTTTTTTTTTTTTAAAAAAAAAAAAAAAAAAAAAAAATATATAGTAATGTTTTTAAAATTAATTTTTTTTTTTTTTTTAAATATAAGCCTGTGTATAAATACAAAGAATAATTTGAAATAATTTTTTTATAAGTGCAATTTTTTATGAATTCCTATTTATCATAAACCCATGGATGTGATTATAATAAATTTTGTTATACAAATGGAAATGATTGGTTTTTATAATGCATTGAGATAAATTTACTTAACGTATGGTTTTTTTTTTTACCTGGTGAAAGTGATTATGAATTTGCGTGTACTAATGTCACTAGCACGGTAATGTCGTCTACTTTGCTGTTAAATTGAAAAAGAAAAAAAAAAGGAAAATAGGTCAGAATTTGATAGAAAAAAAAGGTATCTAAATTAATTATATTTATTAATTGTAAGCGAAATCTTTTCTATTAATCTCACTCGAAAAAAATAAGATTATAGAAAATATTTCTGTACAATGAGCATTATAAATTGGCTGGCGGCGGAAGTCCTGAAGACGCCTCGGAAAGCTACAATGAATCAAAAAAAACTATAAATTTCTCAGCATTTTATACAAACCTACGCAATTTACCATAACATATACAAAACATTCATCATCTTCGTAAGTTTCAACTCCTTCTTTGAATAGTTATTTGTATTCGGAAGCAACAAAACAAAGAGAAAGGCGTTTTGATTTGCTGGGCAAATTGTAGCTTCCCAAGGCAACCTCTAGGGAATACTGATCGCTAATAAACCAGCAAACCTACAAAAAATAACCACAAAATGTGCGAGCCAACCACACCAACCAAAACAACCTATTATGACTGAATCTTACCCTCCAATTCTACTTTCTCCATTTTGTTTTGCGCTTTGTGAAAAAGGACTTATCCTCCTTGAATCTATAGAAAATCGTCTCGCTGTATCTGTTAACCTTCTTGAAAGTCTTCTAACATGAGTTCGAAGCTTTTCAAGATCCATTTCACGAACCATACCATCATGACCCATGACATCACGAAGCTCTTTATTTACAATTTCAACAGCCTCATCAGCAAACACATTATCAAAAAATCCATCAGTAGCTAGAAGAATAACGTCACCATCTTGAAGCTGATGACTAGTCTGTTGAGCATCGCTTGGCTTGTCTTTAAAGTAGAGCTTTTGGTTAGGGTAAGATTCAGGTACGATAGTTAATTGAAATGGACAATTGAAGAAATGTTGTTGTGATGGAGATTCATATAGTAGTGCACCATTACGGATTAGAATGTATGCTGAGTCGCCTAAAGTAGCTGCATTAAGGATTCCTGAAGATTTGGATAGCGAAAGAATGCAGGCCGTTGAGCTTCCTAAAAAAAAAAAAAAAGAAAGTTTGATTCAATCTAAAAATGTTTTTTAATTAAATTAAAGATATTCATAAGTAAACTAAATTAATAACTACCTGCTTTGACTTTACCACTTTTTATCAGATTGTCGAACGCCCCGCTTAGTATCTGTTTAGCGTCTAATATGTCATTATAACCAGATGGGGCAATAAATGGCGACAGATCTGGTGCATTGTCTTTTGCTACACTTGCAGCATTATCCATTAATGCCCAGGAGAAATTGGCTGGATCCACACCCATCTTATATATTTATGATATTGATTATATAAAATTAATAATAATTAATTAATCCAAGAATAAAAGAATAACAATAAATTATTAAAAAATAATATTATTAAAAAAAATACATATATATCTCTAAGTATACCTGAGACCATCCACCAACACCGTCAGCTACTCCTAAGGCTACACCGTTATTTGTCCCAACATAGAAAAAGGCATCCTCTCCTGCATCTACTTTACCTATTCTCATACGTTCTTTCCACCATGCGTGACCACTGCCAGATATAGAATTTACAGCAGTTCGTTTTCTTTTAGGATGCCAAGAAGCTGCTATCAAATAAGTGAAGCCTTTCGTAGTAGTTAAAGGTAAACCAGTGACTCGTAAAGGATTGCTATATACAGCTTTGATATAAATTTGTTGGTTAATAGCAAGACGAAGGGATTGAGAGGCACTGGAAAGGAGCCGGTTGGAAAGTGCGGGGAAAACCCCTGGACGATAAAAAGGTGATATAGAAGACGACATTGAGAGAATAAAAAATGTGTACAGTAAAAATTATTATTTGGAGAATTTTTTTAATTTTTTTTTTTTTTTTTTTTTTTTTGCAGATTTTGTAAGAGGAAGTTCTCACTGTGAAGGACCTCGAGGTAAAAAAAAAAATAAATAAATAAATATGAAAAATTGATATTAGATAATCTTATCTTTTTTTTTAATTTTAATAGTTTTTTAGATCGAGAAAAACAAAAGAGAAGATAAATATTCTTTGAGGCGTTTTAGCCTCAGGCATTTAATGTTTCTTTTTGTTTTGACTGGAGATGAAAAGATGTAATTAATAATAACGAGATAGATATTGGTTTGCAGCTCACATGTATTTGATGACACGGCGTAAATATAAACGGTCTATATACAGACCCAAATAATCATGATTTGCATCTTTATTGCAAATAAAGTTGTAAGTTATTTTAAGAACTAATTGTAATACCATTATTATTTTTAAACTACCAGAATTTATCATCTTATATTATTCTCTATCTCGTGCTAAAATAATCTAATTTTCACCCTTGACAATAAAAGATTAATCTTTAGTTTTCTAACCTGTGATGTCGACTACAAACAACAGACAAAATAGTCAGGCCCCTGGCAAATTGTTCCAATTCAAGCTTGTTCTATTAGGTATGACAATTTTAACTGCGATCGTACAGACCATTTTTCAAAATTTTACGAACTATGATGTACTACTTTACAAAGCTCTTCTGTATCGTTTGTTTTGACCTTTTTTTTCATTTTATCATGTGTTCCACGTTTCTCTAGGCGAATCGGCGGTCGGCAAATCAAGGTTGGTTTTGCTATATGTTATAGGTATATTAAGGAGTGTATTATGTTGAAGGGGCTTCAACACGATGGAAGATATTTCATTTTTCCTTTTATAACCAGTTTTACCAATTACAATAGAAATTATACTGGATAGTTACTTGTTTATATTCATTTATGTTGGAGATTTGAACGATATGTGCATCTCAAATATAATCGAATAATATACAAGTTTATCAAATCTCTTTTTTTTTTTCGTTTAAATTTAGCTTGGTATTGCGTTTTGTTAAAGACCAATTCGATGACTACAGGGAAAGTACCATTGGAGGTAAGTTTTATTCCGAGTGACCTCTTTTTTTTTCTTTGAAAATATAAATATTGATTTTTGGATTTGTTTTTTGTACCAAAAGCTGCGTTTCTTACGCAGACAATTAATCTAGATGAATCCACAACTGTAAAGTTTGAAATCTGGTAATCTAATATATATTAGTATCTTATGGTTTCATAAGATTTCTACAATATTAACATATTATATATGTATTGAACTACTTTTTAGGGATACGGCAGGTCAGGAACGTTATAAGGTGAAATTTTGTAAAAATGAGATTTTTTCTACGTATAAATTTATTAAGTATAGACAATTTAACTAGGCATATTTTTATAATACGTGTTATAGAGTTTGGCACCAATGTATTACAGAAATGCAAATTGTGCAGTAGTTGTATATGATATAACTCAAGCTGTAAGTAGTGTTTACGATTATATTATTTACATTATATTCATACTGGTCAATCAATTATTAATCCAACTTATATATTATTTATTGTTTAGTCGTCTCTGGATAAAGCTAAAACGTGGGTAAAAGAATTGCAAAGACAAGCTGATCCGAATATCGTAATTGCACTTGCTGGAAATAAAAGCGATCTGAGTGCTCGTAGAGCAATCGATTCTGAGGTAGTCTAAATACTATTTTAATTTTATGATATATATTTTTACTTTTACTTTCTACTTTATTAATATAACTTTTTACCTTTTAAAAGGAGGCTCGGACCTATGCTTCAGATACTGGTCTTTTATTTTTTGAGACATCCGCCAAGACAGCATCTAATGTCAATGAATTATTTACATCAATAGGTATGATTGATCCAAATTCTTTAGAAATTATAAAATTTATCTCAATTTTTTATTTCCGTTTTCTTTTAAAGCGAGACAAATGCCACTTGAGCAATTAGCTGCTAATTCACGTGGACGAACAAGCGGCTTGAAGCAAAGAGGAGTTGATTTGACGAACCCAACACCAGCTAGTAATTGCTCATGTTAATGAACACTTTGGAATTTTGCATCAAGCAACGGATATGATTGTAGTAGAAACTTTGGGCTTTGATCATTCTTTTCTTTGTTGACTTTTTTTTCTCCTATAATTTCAACTAACAACTTATAATAAGTTTCATTTAAGTTGTCAAATTTTTGATTGACAACTTATTCCTTTCTCTTGTATGTTATATTACCTTTTATTTTATTTTTATTTTATTTTATTTTTTTTTTTTTTTTACTTTTATTATTGGATATAATTTACTCGAGTTCTTAACTTTACATATGTCCCCTAAATATTATATATATCTCTCTTCCTTGACATTATTCAATCAAAAACATTTGGTCGGTGTAATAACTGAGACAATCTTTTTCGAAAATTATAAATATTTCTTTTTTACTCTGCGGAAGTCTCATTATTACTACTCTATATTACAGTAAATATAAATCCACAAAGTAATATTTTCATATTCGTCTTTTGTTAATTAGTACCCATATTTATCATTCAAAGCTGTTCTGCCATCACCTTGAGAAATTGTAGAAATGTAAAATGAAATAATAATAATAATTCCTATTAAATGAAATCAAATGATGTTAAAATATTATCATTTTATTATTTTATATTTACCTGTTTGTCCTTTAGGTGGTTCCCATACAGTAGCTTCTTCAACTTCTATATCATTTAATTCTTTGACATTTTCATGTTTTTCTTCATATTCTTGAGGAGTCATTGGTATCATAGTTTTCATTCTTTTTTCTTCTTTATTAATTTCTTCTTTATCAGAAGAAATTTGCCTTTTTTGTGAAACCCTACTTGAAGACTCTTTTGGTGGTTGTAGATTCAAAAATTCATCATGATGTTCAAAATTATTTGTTGATATTGGAATTTTAAACTTATTTGATGATGGGATCGGTGTATCCTGTTGTGTTTTTTCCTTTTTCTTTTTTTTTTTTTTTTAAAAAAAAAAAAAAAGTTACATTCTGTTAAACAAAATAACTTTTAAGTTAGACGCACATACCACATTTATTTTAATGTTCGGCTCGGTAATTAATGATGTATTTGTTGCAGTTGCAGATACAGCTGCATTGCTTTTAGAATTACCATTTAGAATTAGAGTTATTTATATCATTAAAGAAAGTTTCGAAGTTAATTGCAGTTAAACATTTTATTATTATTATTATTATTTTATTTGAGATAAAATGAACGTACTTGTTTGCAATATCTGATTTTGAAGAGGATAATATTATTGAATTACTTTGCATAATATCAAGAGGTTTCGTAATTTCAATAAGTTTAGCAAGCCTCTGGTCTTGCTATAAAAGCGTAAAATGAAAGTAAGTTAATAATTACCAAATGATTAATAATCATTAACTCATAAATTACTTTTAATAATTCCTGTAGTGTAGCTTCCAAGTTCGCTGCTGATTCACCCTTAAGATCATTATTTATTGAATGCATATAAGAATCTAAATCATCTTCGGCTGCAACCGCGGGAGATAATTTTTCTAAAAATTTGATATATATATAGTTATTTTTTTTTTAAAAAAAAAAAAGTAAACTATAATTTCATTAATAACAATACCGAATTCTTTAGCAAAAGATATTTTGTTTCGAGTTTCTTCGATTTTAATTGCAAGTTCTTCTCGTTGTTTTGTTAATGATCCATATGTCTCGACTTTTTGAGGTTGCTGTATTTTACGTAATTTTGCTCGCTCAGCTACGATTTAAATTAAAATACAAAAATTCATATAATTATTTAGTTGCATATTGTATTGAATAAAAAATCAATCAACTCAATTACCTTGTCCGGTTCGATCATAGTAACTATCGTTATCATCGTCTTCATCAGTATCACCGATCAATTCACGCATTCTTTTCTTTCTTGCGGCTATTTAAACAAAGAGTTAATCATCAATCTCATTTTAAAGGAAGTATAAAGTAGACTTATAATACATACAGGCTTCGTCTTGACTTGCGCGCAGTAGGCCAAGCATGTCTAATTTCTCACAAGCGTCTATAGAAGCCTGTTTTTCTGCATCCCTAAATTTTTCTTTTTTTTAATTCATATTTATTTTCTTCCGGAAGGAATAAACATAATTATTATACCACTGACTTTCTTTTAGAACCGCTGCCTGTACCATAAACAGGCCCATATGCATCTTCAACGTCCGGCAATCGAATACTTAAGAAATTTTAATGAATTAAAATATGTACGGCAAAGATTTAGAAAAACGTGAAAAAGATTAAGATACAAACCGAGCAGTAAAAGTACGTGAATGACCTGGTCCTTCTTGCTCATTTTCAAAATCCAAATCATAACCGCGATTCTATGAAAGTCAAACATATGATATAAACAATTTAAACGTATGGATTTTCTAGTTCATATTTTAAGTACCTCGAGCCAATTTCTTAAAGCCTTTCTTGGATTTTTGTAATAATAAGCATCTTCATCACGCTTCCATGATTCTTTAGCA